GAGATCTTCTAGCTCTTCTTGCTAACCCCGACCTAATTCTTTTTCATGCAACCGTGACACTTAGCTGGATATTCAATCTAACTTTCCTGAACCCACCCATCATCCACTTATTTGGTGTTTGATATCAATCATGCACACACACACCCACACACATGGCTATGGATGCGATTTCTCCGTACAAATGTAATGTAATATCTCATTACTATTTCAATATCATGCCCATATGTAAAGAGTGTCAAATGAACAACTTTAAACACATATCTACATATCCCATGATAATTTACATCTCATGCATACAATTACCAACTTTATCACCATGTTAATACATCAAGGAGCCTATATTAACATTTCATATTCAACCATGATTCTCAAGCATGTTATCACATAATATATGTCAATAACTCATTTAATTTCACATGGCATAAAATAAACAAATAGCATGTCCACATAACACCCATTTTTCATAGAATTACACAAGTAATTGCAAACTACCAATTCCAATTTAGGAATTTTCCTTAAATTAGGTCAAATTCACATACACAATTCACCAATCACCCAATTCCATCAATTTCACAACCATAGACAAGTGATATGAATCTCTATAATTCTATCCATTACATATAACACCATAGGTTGTAAAATAAACACAAGTATAAAGTAACCCTAACTCTTGAAGTGTAAGGAACGACAATAGGAAGTCCCAAGAACCCACTTCTAGCCTAAATTTTAAACTTTCGAAAATCTCGTACCTTGATCTTCAGTAAAATTCGTCGTTTTTTATGTGGTCGCGTAGCCCTTGGCGAGAGGAGCAACTTTAATTGTTGGCCCGAGTGAATCCGAAGCTCGTGGAGTCGTAGATCGTAGAGAGAAGTGGAGAGCTCTTTCTTTTTCCCTCTCTTCCCCTCTCACATTAACCGGCCGAAGAAAGTGGGAAAGAAATCTGATTTCCCCCCTTTTTTATACCCTCCATTTACTTGGCTCACATTGTGCCACATAGCCTCTTTTTCCCGACTCCGTTTTCGTCTTGAAACAATTTAATTTTGACTCGATTTAAGTTTAAAATATTTTTATTTTAATTTGTCTTAGATTATTTTCCAACTTTTGAAATTTTATCAAAAATTCTGTTTTTGGGTCACTCGAGACTCGACTGCCTCGTAAAACGCAAAAAATTTGACTATCTCGAAATTTGATGAAATTTGACAGAGTAACTAAATTTCGCGAGACGAATCCAACGGTGAGGTCCGTTACGTCATCCAAGATCTAAAAAAAATTTAGGTTTACAACCCGTATCGTAGTGGCAAATTATCGTTTTGCCATTGTTATAAAAAATTTAAATTCACCCGGGTTTTACATCTTCGCTCACCATCGCCACCAGCCATTGTCACCTACCCCACCACACCTACCACCACCAACCACTATCACCTGTCATCGCCCACCACTGCAGCCACCTACTGTCATCTACCCCCACCACACTTACCACTGTCGTTATTCGCCACCACCCATCACACTGTTATCTAGAAGCACTTATCGTCGCCCACCACCACCACCACCACCATCACTACCCACCACCACTGCCAACCACTATCTCCACCGTCCACCACCACCATTGCACCCACGGCTACTACCACCACCACGGTCGTCGTCTTACCCATCACAACCATCACCGTCTCCCATCATTACCACTTTCGCCCACCACCACTACCACCACGCACTTCTATTACAATCAATGCTTAAATTTTTTTTATCTTTCATTTATGTTTGTAATTTAATTTTAAGTGTGAATACAAATATATTGACCATTTCTTTTTATTATTTTGTATTTTCAGGCACGAGAAATAACTAGTATATCGATATAAAATCTATTCTCATAGAACTCTATAAGATTTATTCACATTTCGCAGACTCTTTGATCTTCGGATTCGCAATAGGAGTAGTGCCAAAAGTAGACACCGAAGAAATCAAATAGACCGATGGATGGGAAAACGTAAACCCATTGTACTTGTCGGAGAAAGGTCAAAATCGCCGAAAAATTGTCCCACTGGTTAGCAAATGGATACCACAAGGTCTGCAACGAAAACCTTTTTGCCAACCATTGCTGACAAATCACTTCTCCGGCCTCAATCAACAACATTGAGAGCTCCGGAGAAAGTTCGAGATCGCCAAAGGTTCTAGTGTCCTCAACAGTAAAAAGTGTGTGTGAGAGAGAGAGGAAAGAGGGAGAGAGGGGAAGAGAGAAGGGGAAGGGGGTGAGCACGACAAAAAAGTGGGTAGATTAATGGTTAAGAAATCAAGATTGTCACTCCTAATTATGATTTCAACGTAATTGCTTTCAATGAGAGCATGTTCTAAGTGTAAAGATGCTGCTAACAAGCATGCTTCTCTAACTGCAGCTGCTTCAGAATATAAACTGGTGACATAGCTAGGACTGATTTGGATCTTCCATCCATCATGGTACCTGATGCATTTCTAGCAACGATAGACTTCATTTGGCTTGACATATGCAACAAAAACTCATTATTCATGTAAAACAAAATGTAAAAAAATTAACAAAACTTAAGACATCAGTAGGTGTAGGCGTTTTCCAAAGGTGGGATCTTTGAATTCTTCCCATTTGACCCGAAACCGATCGATCTAGCTATGAGCAAGCTGAAGAGAGCTCTAACAGGCTTTGGAGGACCGAACCCACGTATGTGGCAAAATATGAGGATTACTTGTGGCTAGGGGTGAAAGGCCAACCAAGATCAGATATAGTTAGTTTTCAGCGAAATCTATGTCAATAGAGCGTATGATGTAACGCACATCCAAACGAACATCCTCCAATTAGGAATTGTCATTTGTATCATTCATGGTTTCTACACAACCCACCTCACTAAATATAAGGTGAATGTATCCACACTGTAGAGATACACGTATCCGAGGTGTATCTGATGAATATCCAACAATGATAAATATTAATTATTTGATACGTACGATACATATTATATGTATTCACGAGTATCCGATACGTCAGTCTCTAGAAGAATTCACCATTGTGAGACTGCTTAGAATTTGAAGACTGAAAAATTTTGAAAGTTGGAAGTATATTGGACAAATTCGAGAATCAATTTTGTGGCAGGGAAACCAGTGTGCGAAGTTTAGTGGGCAAACAATATAAAACTTTCTGCAAGCAAGAACTCTATGGAATTGCAAAGGATTCCTAAATAAATTCAGGTGTCTTACCATGACTTTACAGTGAAAGTCACCCTTGTTTTTGTAACAGAGCAACGGTCAAATCAACGTTTGCTTATTCACCATTGTATCTAGTTAGAGGAAAAAGTGTAGAATATCAAATACTAGAACCAAATATGAATGCGCGCGCGCGCACACACTCTCTCTCTCTCTTTCTGCAAACAGTGAAAACTATGGCAGGTCATAAAACCAGTCCTGGCGAAATCATCCACAAGCCAAACTGATATGTTCTATTTCACCAATAATTGAATGAATCCAAAAATCAATTATTAGCAGCTAGCCACCATTAAAATAGTGATCGCCACGTACGACGTCCGAAGAAAGAGGTAGGGCCATTGGACTTTCAGTACACATTATTTGAAGCACCATTTGCTAGCATCCGGTTGCAGATAAAAAGAGGTTTACATGATGACCCAACATCTTCTCACTTAATACTACCAATTTGAAGAGCCCATGGTTTGCAAGGTATGTGAAGAAAGCAGGCTGGTTATCTACAACTCCAGGCAAACTTTGGTTCTAGTTGTTCTGTGTCAACACCCGTGCATAGGGCTGTTAAAATTGGATACGAAATAATTAATCGATACGAATTAAACGGGTTTGGGTGTGATCTTAATGGGTTTAGGTGATAAACGGGTTGACAAGTGAAACACGGGTCGTGTTCGAGTGAGATCTGTCAAACTGTTTATCACACGTTTACCCGTTTAAATAAAATTAATATAATAATAAATTAATAATTATTTAAAAAAATTAACAAGAAAAAAAGAAATCAGTAAATCAATAAAAAAAATAAGTAAAGTAATAGTTTAAAGACAAAAGACAGAGATGAAAAACACTTCAAAGACAAAAACAAGTCTTATTTATCCCACATTAGAAAATGAGAAGAGATGGAGAGGGTTGAATTGCCTATAAAAAACAATGATCTCTTACTTTTTTTTTTAGGCCTTCAAGTCTTATTTGTCCTACATTAAAAAATGAGGGGAGATAGGGAGGATTGAGTTGCCTATAAAACGAAATGATCTCTTACTTTTTTTTTTTAAGTTTTCAAGTCTTATTTATCCCACATTGAAAAATGAGGGGAGATAAGGAGGGTTGAATTGCTTATAAAAAGTAATGACCTCTTACTTTTTTTTTAGGCCTTGAAGTCTGATTTTTATGAAATTTTGCTTAAAAATCTTTTTTTTTGAAGTAAGTGCAATTAACAATAAAAAAAATGAAATATTAAAATTTATTAATATAATTTTTTTTAAAATTAAATGGGTTAAACGAGTCATGTCGTGCTACCCGTTTTCGTGTTGAGATTTTTTACTTGTTTATTAAACGTGTCGTGTACGGGTTTATATATTTTTTACCCACGTTTGACACCCCTACCCATGCAAGCCCATGCCTTCCAAAGGAGTGCTCACTTGCTCCTATGGGCACTAATTTCAGTATAGTGTGCCCCAAAATGCATCCAAATATATACACAAATTGTACTACAAACAAGAAATCAAGAATAAATATGAATTCTTGAAATAACACACTGCCTATTTGACAAGGTCTCACGAAGCAATCTTCTTCTAGTCGCGGGATGAAATTTTACAGCCAACTGCTGGCTCTGAATAACCAGCCCAGCAATAAGCTCAGGTCTTCCATAACATAACCGGGCGGAGTTGCGTGCGAGCCGAGTAAGGTAGTGCACACGAGTCCTTCGCGCTACAACCATCTCTTTTTTATAGGTTCTACGGACTGATGCCTGCAACACACCTGATTCCATGTATATACTCATCCCATTTCACTAATCACACATTACATATCTGCAACACACCTAATTCCATGTATATGTACTCATCCCATTTTGCTAATCACATATTACATATTGAAGCGAAAATATTCCATATGAGCAGCAATGCCCAACTTCAGAAAAGATTATAGTAATAATCTGACACTTGACAGATATCCAAAAGTATCTACAAGTCTTGTAACCTCCAAAAGGCATATAGGTTTGATTACATATATTATATTACATCAACAAAGAGAAACCCAAGAACTACAAAGTAAATGCAGAGACATGGCAAGGCAAGCTAGCTAACCTCAAGGTTGGATTTGAACGACATGAACAACATGAGGGACCTTCTCATCATCGAAAGGCAAGCTAACATATTCGTGAGCAAACTCCTCAGCTATATCAAAAGCCAATTCACCATGTAAAGCCTTACAATACATGTACAACACCGCATGTGCCGCCACAACGTGAAGCATCAACAATGTCACAAAACTCGAACCTACCACCGTCTGCAATATGAACAACCAACTTCTCCACCCACTAACTCCGTCGTAATACACCGCCGGCATCGTTCCCCAAGTCAGTAACCCAATCAAACACCCAAAATACAATAACAACGACAACGAAACCCATCTCATCCCATTTAATAAATAAAAACTTCGCCGCAACGGCTCAATCCCCCATTTTGATTCCACCACCACAATTACACTAGCCAATGCCCAATTCACGTGTAACCAGATTAAGACCAACCCAAGAAATATCGCAACGATTACGCAAAACCCAATAAAATAACTCGAATTATAATCGATTTCAAACCCTAAAATCTGAAGCCCTCTATACACTAAAACGACATAAAGGCCAAAAATCAAACACATCAATACAGCAATTGTTTTTGAAACCACCATTGTAATCACAAGAGGTACGAATGAGTGGAAGAGCGACTTGATGGCGGACATGAACTTGACAGGTCTACCGTAGAATCCATGGAAGGTGCTGTAAGTGATTGTTGCTGAGGCACAGAGGGAAAGGAAGACGACGAAGAAGGCGTAGATGAGATAAAGAATTAGGGTTTTAGAGGGGGGATAGTGGAGGTCGGAGGACAATCGGAGGAGGAATTGGGTGTAATCGATGTCGCCTTGGAAGAGGGTGGATTGAAGGGTAGGGTAGATAAAGAAAGAAAAAGAGAGAGGTAACAGGAAGAGGACAGAGAGGGATAAGAAGTGGCGAGAGTGGGCGTTGATTATGCGTTTTGCCTCGGAGAGGACTCCGCAGAGGTTTAGGGTTCGTGACATGGTCGACATGGGAGGGAGAGAGATTTTCACAGAGAGAGAGAGAGAGAGATGGAGAATTGGTACTACCGTTGGTTCATATAGAGTAAATTACATATAGCCCTGTCAAACTATAGTTCTCGTGTCAATTAAGTCCTTCAACTTGTTTTATGTCAATTAAGCCCTTAAATTTTCTAATTATGTCAATTAAACCTTTTTGTCTGCCTTTGTTAGAGTGTGCAACTCACATGATCATATGACACAAAAAGATAGAAGAGCTCAATTGACAAAATTAAAGAGTTTAAGGATTCCATTGACACAAAAAAATTAGAGACTTAATTGGTCATAATTTGAGGGCAATATATATAATTTATTCCAACTCAATTGTGTTACGTGAGCGACACATAGAAGAGTTTAATTGACATAATTAGAGAGTTCAGATGCTCAATTGACAAAAAAAAAAAAGTTTAAGGGCTTATTTAATATAAGGATTATAGTTTGAGTCCATATGTATAATTTACTCGTTCAGACATATCTTTACATTGCGTTAAATGATACTTCATACCCTCAAAGATTGCTAAATTCTTAATTTATACCTTAAAACATTAAAGCCCTCATAACCTTAATAGGATAAAAGAAAAGCAATGTAGTCCAAAACCTCAATGGTTGTTTCTTTTTTGGACAATTTTTTTAGATTTTTATAAGTAATTATTTTTTTAATATTGAATTTTAAGTGTTTTCAATGAAAATTCTGAACTTTTTTTTTTTTAAATGAAGCACATTTCTATCGTTTTGTTTGATTGACAATGCAATATCAATATGGAGATTTCAACCTTTCAAAGTGTAACTTAACAATACAAAGATATTTTAGGCTACGAAGTGTCATTTATCCTTTACATTGTTCCTCCAGAAATTAAAAGTTGTGCAATTTATGTCGTGTTATTAGGCTTGGGCCCAAAATCAAATATGAGATGATGATGGGCTTTACTGAACATTCAATACTTCTTCTGTCAAACTTCAGGGCCGAAATCAGGGTTAACTTTTCAATGGGCTCTTGAAACTGGGCCAAGCTCAATTAGAGCCCATATGGTCAGGGGTAACTTTTCACTGGGCTTAAATTAAACTGGTCCAAGCTCAGTTGGGGCCCACATGTGTGCAGGTTATATCAACCTGATTTTGGTCCAGACCCAGCTCAGCAGAGCTGAGCTGTAAGTATGATAAGACAGGCACAGGCCCACACAGGAATCTCAGCCTTGTTGTGTACGGCCTGGATCACATCAATCAGCTATCCCACAGCATTAAAGCCTCTGATCTGACCGTTTATTCTGGTGGTCCCAACAGCTCGACAACCGTTAATACTCTGGACCATCGTATTTGACCGATTGATTTGCCCAAACAGTGTATTGGACTGAGAATTAAAACTGACCCCCGACGCAAAAAATACAAAGTGTGGGGTGGGTTGGGTTGGGTTGGATTACGCTGGATTGATGGGACGCCTAAAACGACAAGATTAACATTCCCGTTTGGTGGTCCGTTTCTGGTCCGATTGCGACTTAACGGGCGGTACAGGATCAGAATTGGGTTTTATTTACCCGACCAGACGAATCATGCTACGTTTGTCACTTTTTTATTTTTATTTTTATTTTTGTTTATCCTTCTCATTTAAACCTCGTACTTTTTCTTCTACTCTTTTTTTTTTTTTAAATATATTTTGTTAAGGAAGATGATAAACCAATTCAAATCATATGTATAAATCTATTATTGTAGCCGCGCTTCACTTTTTCGGTATTATATTGAAATATTAGTTATTCTCTGTAACTGAAAATACAAAATAATAAAAAAAATAGTTAATAATAAATATATTTGTATTCATATTTAAAATCAAACCACAAATATAGAGGAGAGAAAAAAAAATTTAAACATAGGTTACAATGACAATAAGTGATGGTGGGCAGAAGTGACGGTGGTGGGGTGGCAACGATGGTGGTAGTGACGATTGTTATGGGGGTTGATGGTAGGACAATGATGGTGGTAATTGAGGTGGTGGGGGGTGGAGGTAACGGTGGTGGGGGGGGGGTAGTGGGGATGGTGGTGGTTGGATAGTAAGGGTGGTGATAGTGGGGGGTGGCGAGAATGTTAGTGGTGACGGTAGTTATGATAGGGGTAGTGGTGATGGTTATTGTGGCAGAGGTGATGGTGTGGCGATGATGGAATGGTATGGTAGAGGCAGAGATGGGGGTGGCAGAGGGGGCAGGGGGTGGTGATGGTGGTAATGAGGCAGTGGGCTGGGTGGTGGGATAATGGGGGGGGTGGTGGTGGGGTGGCGACATTGATGGTGACGACAACAGTGGTAATAGTTGTGGCAGAAGTGGTGGTGGGGGATGGCGACGGTGGAAGTGATAGTGGTAGTGGTAATGGTGATGGTGGTGGGAGAATAATATGGTGGTGGGGGTGGGGTGGTAGTGGCAATGGTAATGGCGATGGGACTGTGGGGGGTGGTGATGGTGGTGGGGCGATGGGGGTGGTGGTGATAGTGATAGTTCCAAACACTATTTTTTTTTAAAGTATTTATGAGAAATTATAAGTATTAAAAGTACTTTTAAAAAATTACTTCAAACACACTCTTAGTGTCATATTTTTCCTATTAAATTTAAAGTATTAATATTAGTCGTCAGATTAATTTTAAAATAAAATTTAAAGAGATCTCAACCGCAAAATAGCTAAAGTCATTTTGTTTTATCTTTGATATTTGAATTGTATTATACTTTATTATATAAATAATTTATTGTAGCAAATTTTATGTTGAATTATTTTTATGCTCCATTTGGTATGATAGAAAAATGGAAAGATGAAAAGTTAGAAAAATATAAAGTTAAAGTACTAAATAAAACATCATGTTTTATAAGAAAGAAAAATAGGTAGGATGAAAAAGTGGATGAATGAGTTTTCCTTCCAACTCACCAAAATCGGAAGAAAAATGAATAAAAAGTTAATTATTTATGTTAAAATGTATCTTATTTGTTTATATATATATATATATATATATATATATATATATATATATATTAGGGGTAACAAGTGCCTGAAGATACGGTGTAATGTGAATAGTTTTAAGAGAGATATTGGTAGCCATTGGATTAATTTATTTGAAACCGTCGGATAAATTTATTAAAAACTACTCTGTTTTATATTGTAAATATATATATATATATATGTGGGGGGGGTGTGGGTGTGTGTGTGTGTGTGTGTGAGAGAGAGAGAGAGAGAGAGAGCTTCATTTATAGATGACAATGATCTACAATCAAGTGAAAGTGTAATGTTAATAATTTAGATCCTTTCAATACTTCTCCAAATGTCCATAAATAGGCCATGAATCCTGCCAATATCTATGGCTATGGCAAGAGCATGCCTAAAATTTTTAGATAGTTAATTTGTTAGACTCTTCAAATAAATGAGTCCACATGAACTTGACAAGTACGATACATAGTTTATACGTAACATAAATTCAATATAAGAAGAATTCGACAATAAAAGTTTTTTAAAACAATAGTATAAGTTGAACAAATTTAATACAAGACAATATTGATAAATAACCCATTAACAATCCTAAACAAGAGTACCACTAGGCCTCAAAGGCTTGTGGTAACAAATGTGAGGGTCGGGGACCTCGATCTTCCTTAACCATCATCTATTCAATTTAGGAATGTCAAATATAACACAATTTGATAATATGATACGAATATAATAAAAAATTAGATGGTTTGGTCTTTCTTAAGCCACTCATTTCGTAAACGAGCGCACTTGCACGATACACAATTAATAAACGAATCGGATATAAATGAAATTAATTAAAAAAAATACACGATACAATTTGTTTATATATCAATTATACACAATTCATACACAACACGAATTCATTAATAAATGAATAAAAAATTAGTATAGTATTTTTTGACACAAATATAATAACCCTTTGTTTGGTATAAAGTAAAATTGGATGGATGAATAAAGACGAATGAATGAAAAGTAGAAGGGAAAGAGAGATTTTCCTTTGTTTGGTTGGGAAGTAAAATAGAGAGGAGAGGAAAATGAGATGGAAAGAGCACCCCCACCCCCACCCCCCACCTTTTTTAATCCGCCCAAATTTGGGCGAAAAATAGTTAGAAAAGTTGGGCAATACATAAATTTACCTTAATGCCTCCTTGAAGTGATGGTCTGAAAGTGTGACAGTTGTTCCATGTCTCGCAAATAACAATTACAAGGGTAATAATGTACTTTTATAAATTATATTTTTATATTAATTTTTTTCTCATAGATAGAATTCAATAAAAAATTTATTTTTTTAACTTTTCCATCTTTCTTGCCAAATAAGACGGAAGAAAAACATATTTCCTTTCTCAAAGAATTGAAAATGCATTCATTCATTCTTTTTATCCCTTCTATTTTTTATCATTCCTACCAAACATACTGTAACACTTAAAAATAAATCTGTCTCACTTGACACGATTGAATCACGTTAATTTCTTACTATATTTTTTTCAATCGTTCGAATTTACTCTCAGGATGGTCTTATCCTAACTCATGCACGTATATGGTTGTACTAGAATACTGGGAGGACTGTATGGTTCATAGGTAAAGACAAATTGTCGAAATAGTAAGAAGTTCTAAGGTAATTATAAAAACACTGAGGGGTTGCCACATAATTAATCCCATATTCAACTGCACAACTGCAATTCATAAAGGCAGGGCGGTCTCCACACCTAGGCAAGTGAGGCAGTTACCTAAGCTTCCATTCGCACATGCTCTACAAATGATACGACAAATGATCAAAAATTTAATTTTATTATTTTTTTAAAAATCATAAATATATGTATATTCAAAAAAAAAAAAAATCACAGCATATTCTTTTACGAAAAATACAAGACTCTACTCTCTCTTTTTTTTTTTTTTTTCTGAATTCTCAATAACTGTATCCTATTTATTCAGTTTAATTTTGTTAAATTATAATTTTTGATATAATTTTAATCTTATATAATTCTTCACACAGTGTATTTATTTTGTAAGTTATTTTCGACTTTAAATATACCTATTAAAATATATAATTTAAAAATAAAAATAAATCAAATGATTCATTTCAAAATAATTTAGGGCTCATGTAAAATTTTGGTTAGGAGTATTCTTAGGCGGCATAAAGACAAGGCAAATGTTAGAACTCAGATTAAAATCCCCATGGATGACCAATCTGCCTTTACCACGTCTAAAAGATTGGGTGGATGTAGTGGCCCCACAGAACCTCTCTCTCTAGTGGGTCCCTTCTCTATTCTCTAGTCCCTACCACATGTCTCAGTCTCTTCCCGTGGCGGTGCAGTACTTACACGGAGAAAGTGATGCAGATGAACAGCCCCAAAAGCTTGTGAGAGGAGAGAGAGAGAGATATGAAGAAACAAAAAGGGAAGTCGAAAGTCAGACACCCAGTGGCTTTACTTCAAATCCCATATCTTTTTTTGGCTTTACTTCTGTTTAGTATCCTCTCTCACTTCTCTCTCTCTCTTTATCACACACACAGAGCATTTCTGTATTGATTCATTGGTGCTGGCACTGGGCCACTGGCACTTGCAGCGGTGCATTGGTTTGTACCATCCGTTAGTAGGACTAGGCCCCTAGCTCATTCTATGTGTATCTCTCTTTTTCTCTGTCAAAACACTGCCATTCTTCATGCTGGGTGTTGCATGCATGTAGCATATAATATACGCTGACAAGAGAGAGTGTATATATACATCACCCACAGCTGAGAGAGAGTATATGAGAAATACTATGCAAATCAAAATTTTTATTAAAAAAATATTTTTAAATCAAATGATTGGTAGTTTCAAATCATTTTTGGACCCACCAAACTCTAATTAAAATATTTTTGATTGGATATAAAATTGCCAACTCATACATCTATCTATAGCTTCAATCAGACTTTTTCCACTAATTTATATTCCCAAACTTGTCCCTACAACCTATCTCTTTTCATTCTTCAAGCTTAATGTTCTCTGCAGACTCGATGCATATCTCTCTCTCTCTCGGTGATATATCTTCTGCAGACTCTCTCTCTCTCTCTCTCTCTCTCTCTCTCACGTGAGTGACCATTCATATTTCATTCGGTCAAACACTCAGTGCTGCTCTGGGTCAGCATTTATTTCTATTTCCCTCCCCTTCACTACTCATAAACTCCATCTCCATGGACAAAGTTGCAGTCCCTAAATTGGACAATGATATGGAACTAGGCTTATTTTATTCTAAGGTTAGGTGGTGGTTTTGCTGTACTTAGTGGTATGTAAATTAGGATCTAGTCAAATATCAATCTTACCCCAATCCATCTACTTTGATGAGAAGATTTCAAAAGTTATTGTGGGAAAAAAAAAAACTTTTATAATGTTAACCCATTTCCATATGCAAGTAGTTATTTAGTAGAGTACTCAATGAGACAAATATCAACATACTATGAATGAGGCGTGAAATTAGCCATCATTACACTTCCCCAAAAAAAAAATTCTGACCACACATTAGATAATCCCATTGAAAAAAAAAAAAAAAAACATACAAGACTACAAATAGAGCTGAATCCATTGTCGATCCAGTGCGTTTTCATATATAGTACCAGGGATTAGCTCGACTTAAAAAGACTTCAAAATGGTGTTCTTATCTTTTAGAATTGACTATATGAATCTTATTATGTTCTCGTGATTATCAAGAGACCACATAACATCTACAAATGAGAACAAAAAAAATCAAATTGGTTTGATTATAGAGTCCTATATTTATTTATTTATTATTATTATTCTTATGTGTTGAGTCCACTTGATTGGTAGCATATGCATGCCAAGGTCAGGAAAGCATTACATAAAGTTACAAGTTGGAGGCATTCTTGTAGGCTAATGCAAGTGCTTGAGAGCACCTTGAATATGCAAAACAAAATGTTTTATGACCTGTGCTTTATCCTTAACACATGATCATCTATGTCACATGCCACTGAATTTCTGGCTTATGCACTTATATTCAACTCTTACTGATTGGCCCCCAGTATTGTATTCTGCCCATCAACTGGTCAATCTATTTAATAAAAATCAAGAGATCATCCATCGTACATTAGTAGAGACTAGCGTGGGTTGAACTCATACTTTTCTTTGTAAAAAGTATAGTTGCAAAATATGTTTTTCAAGATTTTTTATTCAGAGCGTGTTTTACAAATACGTTTTTATGTTAAACCCATGTTATTATGACAAACAATCGTAGTTTTAAAGAATAAGATGTAAACTATGTTATATTAAATTATATAAGCAACAAAGTTTCAAAATTACCTCTTTTTTTGTTCGACAGTCAGGTGTCCGTGTAAATTTATATGTATCTCGACTAATCTCCTACCTGATTCGGTCAAAGATATATCATCTATGCCAAGATTAGGATATTTATAAGAGATTTAATATGATTCCAAAAATTTATCAAAATTTAAATATAAGACATATGAATTTACACTACCTTTATAGTTAAAGTTTCAAAATTAGTGTAAAACAATAAAATACTCCTACTACAAAGATGAGGCGGTCAACATCAAGAGTATCTTTGGGCAATTTGAAAACATAAGGTTCAAGGAGAGAGATTGTTCTTTGACTGGACATAAAATATTTAGCAGATCTTTGGGTTTCCAAATAGAGTAATTAATCTTTTCAAAGATTGGCTTCTTCCACCTGGTGGACCTTATTATATTATTTTAAACAGTTATGCAATGAATAATAATCCAGGCAAAAAGGAAATATTATATATCCACAAAGAAAAGCTATGATTGCCATTTGTCAGTTACTTTCAAGGACATTTTACACAAAGATTTGGCTGTGGTACAAAAAAAAAAAAAAATAGGTATTATATCTTCATTTATCACATTTATATATATATTTTTATCATTGTTATTGATGTTTTTATCACTGTTATAATACCGAAAAGAGTGGTAAAAATAATTACCACAACGGTGATAAAAACACTCATAAAAATGAAAAAAAATTTGATTGTAAAATGACTTACAAAATTATAAAAACACTTACTGATATAATAAATTTTAGAAGTACGGTATTGAATTTTTTTTATAGGTACCATGGTAGAGTCCTTTAAACTGTGCTACACAACCAATATGCTCAAAGTCCAACTAGCAATCAATGTTGGATTTGCCTATGAGGAGATCATAGTACAAAATTAGCTGGAGATGGGAAAGATGTAGCACTTCGATGCTGAAAAGTAATTTTCTCTATCATACCAAAAAATCATGTTCGATGATAGATTTTCACTTGAGTTATTTATAGCTATTAATCGTGAACCAGTAAAATAAAATGAAACAATAATAAATAAGTTTTGCATATCATAATGCTACACTGCTCAGGGGCTCATCTAACAAGACTATTACTAACATAGAACAACTACATCTATGTGAAATTCAAGGAGTATAGATTAATAACTTGAGAGAATATTTATGCAATAATGGCAAGAAAATCAGCAGTAAAACATAAGCTTCTTGACATTCTCACTAAGTTTAGGCAGAGGAGTTGCCTTTGGCGGGGCAGCGCGGGACAGTATAGGAGTAGTTCTGGTGAGAGAACTGTAATCCAAACGATCAAGGTATAGTCTGCCTCTGTATGCAGCAAGGTGGGCATAGTAAGCTGGTGGCACCAAAGAAACAGGCTTAGTGCACCTTACAAATGTGTAACAAAGATTATAAACCAACTTTTGCAGCTCATCAGAAGTGAATTGGTTTTCATCCCACAAGACATGATAATGCGTTGGCCGGCTCGTTCCCTTCACACCCCAATGGCTGCAAAGATAGAAGTCGAATTCCTTAGGATGGGTGATCACAGTATCAACAACTGTACCAGGGGGGATATTTTCATTGGCAAATTGGTTTCTAGCTGAGGATGAATTATTGGTTTCATTTGGGAACAACCTTGTGTGGTGCCTTTTCTGAACAACTGCAAAAGTAATGGGAGGTTTGTAGCCTGGATATCGCGAACAAGCGACCCTAATGGCTTGCAATTCCTCTTGAAGCACTTTGTAGAATTGTGTTTCGCTTACCCCATCTCTGAAGAAAATTATTCTCTTGGGGAGTTTGGATAGTTCCTGGTGAAAATCATCCAGTATTTCACCCACCATTGTACTAAGATCTTGGATGATCTCTTGTCGATGTGTTTGGGACCTCATCCTTGAAACATACTTGTTTGCTGCTGGCCAGTTCATGCTACCTACCACAGCAGCAACAGAGGGACTAAAATCATCTAGCGGGTGAGGATGAGTTACATCAGCGCCCATAAAGATCACTGGATCATCATGCTGTAGGAGACGAGGGATTTGAGAAGGCAATGAATTGTACAAAGCAACGGTGCATCCACCAATTTTGGCATTGATCTTGAGAGCCAAATTTGCTAGAACTTGTGAACTCAACTTGTCAAGATTCGGGTACAAGCAGCACTGTGTCACAACCCCAACACTAGTCTCAGCAATTCGCTTCAAATCCGCATATCCTTTGTGTTTTCTCTCCATGACACATATGAGCAGTTGAAGATTGTTGAATGCAGCTCTGTGGATTTTCTTCAGTTTGGATTCTAAAAGAGCCACATTGTTAAGAACTTGCATTGGTTCAAATTGGGGGCTAACAATGGTGTTCTTGTTGAGAAAGATGCCCAATTGATCACACCTTTGAGCTAGCTGATTTATGAATTTGGGAATGTTGGACTTCTGATCAGAATTACCACCGAAACTTATTATTGCCCACCTCTCAATTAGAGTGCCTTCAAAGACATGGCTGTCCAAAAGATTCCACTGGCGATCTTGACGAGAAGGAATTAAATCCCTTACATGACCACCATTCCCAAGCTTAAGTTTAGGCGGCTGCAGTATTCTCCCATTCAATCGTGCCATTTCTCTGGAAACATGAAGTTTGAATTCTTTTCCCTGATTACCACTGTCAAGAAATAGAAATTGAAATACTTATACAAAAAAATTGAAGGAAAGAGTGCTGATATTTTGCTAATAATCAATTACCTTGTTGGTCCAGCTGGTCCTGCCATGAGTCCATCAATGATCGCCTTTCGTTCTCTTGGTCTTTGGCAGCCCATTTTGAGTATCCTTGCAGTCTGATCATCCGAGAGTTTCCCCATAAATTTCTGTCCTTCACAAATGATACAAAGCTCCATAGGAAGATAGCATGGCTTACTCCTGCTAATTTGCAAGCATGGCAAGTTCCTGAACTGTATATCATAATTATAGTGATTCTTGAAGTAGGTCACCAGCCTCAAGTTCTCTCCATCCCTGTCTCGAAACCAGAGTTCCTCTGTGGTATCCTCGGTTAAGCTATAAACTCGATATCTCTGAACAGTTTCTCTGTGACAAACAAAGACTCTGATGTTCTTCAGTGCCTTTTCCACTTCCTTCTTCTCTTCACTCATTAAAATTCTCGCCTTCCTTTGAGGAAGATCGTGTAGAAAGTCAAGTCGCTTTTGCAAGTAGGTAATCACTCCAATACTCTCATGGAAAGCTGTCACCGAGAAATCCACATTGAGAGCAAGTCCTTGTTGTGTTGGTCTAAGACTCTGAAAGAACCCTCTCAGTCCAACAACTCCTCCTCCAATTTCTTTAGTCCCTCCCATTGAACTCGAGTAAATTGACCGCCCAACAGGTATGCACTTCTCTAATGGACTTTCACGCAAAACAACATCCAAGGCATGGAGATAATCTTGAGGAAGAGGAATACAATCATCTCCTTCCTTACTCAAGTAGCTGCTTAGTTCTATTCCATCAAGCTTTGATACAAGTTTGATGTTTATCCTGAAAAGCTTAACCTGTTGCTGCTTTTCTAGTGTGTTGGTGGTTTCTCCTAATGGCAATAAGGACTTGCTAGTTGGGATTGGGAGGCTGATGTAAAATTCAAGCCTGTCATTTTGGAATTCAATAGGACTGTAAAGATTCCTTCGACCATCATAGGCTGGAAGAGCACCAGATAGCGTGATTGAGTTTTCCTCTACAAGTTTTTGCTTAATTATTCGGGCTATTTCCTTTGAAGGACTTGGAGAGATTTCAACATCATATTGAAAAATTCGTTGCAAAGGGTCGAATTGGACGAGGAAATGATTGGCAAGGAGAGAGATAGATGGCCCTTCTATGCCACCTGAATCCGGTCTCCTTGCCACCACCAGCAATTGTGGTGTACCAATTACTATCCTTCCATTCCTCCCTTTGAAGGGTAAGCCATTTTTCTGTTGTTGAATTACATCCGGAGCTGTTTATATGTTGGAGGAGAACAGAACAAGTTAAGTCATTGTGATTCAATTTGAAACCCTCTAAAGTCTAAAACCATGAATAAAATCACAATATACTCTATAATACAACACTTAGAATCTTATACAGAGGCACTATATAATATAATTTTTTTGAAAGTCTCTAAAATAAACTCAATGCATGCATCAACAAGTATGTACAGATGGTAAACAGTTTATTACAAAAATCTAAAAAGAAAAGAAGAAAACAGAACAAAAAACAGAGGGTTTAGAGTTACCAGGGGTGGTAGAGATATTTGAGACCTGGGTATCAGAAGAGGTGGCCAGAGGAGGGCTGTTCTGCTTCCAAGAATCTTTCTGAGAATGGGTTTTTGATCTAAGGCATTGGTTTCGAGTGTGAGGTGGAGTTGCAGTTAGTTGCAGAGGTATGGTAGGAGGTAGAGGAAGGAGAGCTGGGTAAGTTTGGTATTGATTCTGATAACAAAAACCAAATCCAATCCTATTTGAGTGCTGCAATAGCTGGTGGTGATACTGATGGTTATGAGGATTAGTCCTCCCTCTAAAACTCCTTGCTTTAGGTGTCAATTTCCTGTCTATATTGGACTCTTCTGTTTCTTCCATGAGAAATAAACAAGGAAAGAGCAAAAAGGGTTATGTGCATGAGAGAGAGAGAGAGAGAGAGAGAGAGAGAGAGAGAGAGGGACAGGAAGTGAGAAAGGGTATGTATGGGTTCTGTTTCTTATAGCAGTGGGGGAGTTGTATCAGCAGAAAACTGTAGTTATTGCAGAGAGAGAGAGAGAGAGAGAGGAATGGGTTGGGGTTTTTAGTTCATGTGGTTTCTTTGTCCAGTCCTGAAAGAGGTTTTGATGCTGGTGAACAATATTCAAAGGGAAAAAGAGGGGCCTGGTGTTTGATAACCTTGAAAGGAAGGAAAAAGCTATACATAACTAAAAGGTATGTTCTCTTTGGAGTTATGCAATCTGTGTGTATAGAAGTATATGTTTGCTACTGAAATGAATACCCTTTATATATTGCATTGACTAGTTTCAACCATAGGTAGCTATCCTATCTTTTTCTTGCCCTTGATTGAACCTACTCTCAAAGTCAAAAGAACAAGAAAAAGCTTCATTTTCTCTTATAATTAATTAACTATTATTTTTTTATTGATGGTGAATGAAGCTTTTATGATCCCCTTTAAGTTGAGTCTATAACAATATCTTTTTTCCCTAATCGACGTTGATTACAAAGAAAATCATCGTGTTCATCGCCATTACTGTCATCTTCTTCAAGTGATTAAAAATTAAAAATTCTTTAATATGTTCAGTGGGTGTTCATGGATTTCCTAGGACCATTGCAGGCCCATACCAAACTTTTTATCATTAATAATGTGTAGTCAAAACTTATTGCATATTAAATAAAATGTAACCTGGAGAAAACCTTTCATAAGGGTGATGGACTCTTCAGTATATACCCCAGCCTTAGTGTTCAGCTATCATGAATTCTATAATGTTTTTTCATGTTTCTTTTATTTCTAGAATTGGAGTTTGTAGAACCCTTTCCATCCCCACCTGGGAAAAAAAGTGCTATTAAGAGACCCAAACTTTGACCCCATTGGACAAAAAATAAGGATGACAATGTAGAATTGTGAATGAGAATCTTTCATCCCTTTCATATTAGATCATTTTTTTCTTTTCCCAACAGGTCATTAAGGAATACGTCATATCGTTAAAGAATACATCAAGAGTTTGAGTTCGAGAATCAACCTCTTCAAACCAGTGTTAATGATATGTACCACTGATCTTTCTTGAACTTCATTGTAAAAATGGGTACAACTCTTTTTTTTTTTCTAGCAAAGAGTAGCAGTATGACTCCAAATTGATCTACCAATCAAATACTACTTCCAACTTGCAAGACAACTTTTAACCCAATCACCAAAATTGCACCCAAAATCTTTGAAGTTGGATCAAATTTCTATGCCTAAAATTTGGTTCTGTACAAATGCAGGATGAAAATCACGCGGTTAGAATTCAATCACATCACTCATGAATTCTAAAATCTCATTTTGTGTGCTCGTGTTTCACCCGTTTGTGTCAAGTCAAATTTAACCCTTAAAAAAAAGATACATATCCAGCAAACCTCAAAACATTTAAAAGATGATCATAGATCTTAGTTGTTTATTTGCTCAGAGTCATCCACCTCAAACAAAAACACAAGTCTATTCTTTCTTGTCCTTCCAGTTCCTTTTCTCCACACAAATTATGTATTCCACTTCCTACTTTTTAGCCACCCTTTTGCCTCATCTTTCCTCAACATGTTGAATGGTGGAGGGATGAGAAGGAGGCCATTCATGAACTTGGGAAGATGGGTCTCTCTCTATTATTATTTTAAGGATAAACATTGTTGGAGTGTGGTGAAAATTAGACAATATGATTAACAGGGAGGCCTAGGGTTTCCAACTCATTTTAAGCCTGGACCACACCATCTTCATTTTAGTCCTCCTTGTTTATGAATTCCTCATCATGTGGACAAAAAAAAAATTAGGGTAAATTTCACTGACACTCCCTCGAGATTAACCTTGTTGCAGGAACACCTCCTATAGTTTCTGAAAATATCACTGCACACTTTTGTAATTTATCATGAGTTTTACATAGTACCCCTACAGTCATTGCCGTAACTGACATCTAGCAGAATCAATGTTGTCGTGGAATATATTATAATTATAGTGAACTACCAATTTTTCCCTCAAGTTCACTCTTCCATTTTTTAATCAATTGACATTTTATTTTATTAATTCAAACATTAATTTCATCATACTAACACTAATTTCATCAATTTAACACTAAATTAATATTTAATTTCATCAAATTAACATTTTAAAATTTAATTTTGTCAAATTAATATTCAATTTAAAATTTAGTTTCATCAAATTGACATTCAATTTTATTAATTCAAATATTAATTTTATCACATTAACACTAATTATATCAATTTAATTTTGTTTGATGAAACTAATTTCTAAATTAAATAAATTGAATGATAACTTGACTTTAATTTGACAAAATTAAATTTTAAAATATTAATTTGATAAAATTAGTGTTACTGTGACAAAATTAATATTTGAATTAATAAAATTAAATATGAATTTGATGAAATTGAACTTTAATTTGATGAAACTAAATTATGAATTAAATAAATAAAATATTAATTTGATGAAATTAAATTTTAAAATATTAATTTAGTGTTAAATTGATGAAATTAGTGTTAGTGTGATGAAATTAATATTTGAATTAATGATATTAAATATTAATTTGATGAAACTAAATTTTAAATTAAATTGGGGTGAATGTAAAGTAATTCAGAAACTGTAGTGAGTTAAAGGGTAAACAACAGAATTGAAGCCTTGAAAGGTAATTCATTAAAATCACATTTATGTTTAGTCGGTTAATCGATATAATCTGACAGAGGGTGATAGTGATATTTCAAAAATTATAGGGGAGGTACCTGAAATTAGACCAACTCAAGAGGTGTTAGTGAAATTTATCCAAAAAATTAAGGTGGGTCAAAGCACAAAGTGTCCAACATTGACCTAGTTTAACGTGCGGCTATCAATGATCTAAATTTGAATCTATTTATATCATATTTCACACAATTGTATTAGGATCATACCAACATCGGATCAAGCTATGGTTCAATCCAAGACATTTGGATATAGAAATATAAGATGATAGCGATTGATTATCCAATAAAATTGAGTTAGAAATTGAAATGTAAACCGATAAAATTCAGTTCTAATTGAGTTATTTAAATCGAACCAGATATTCGAATCGTAATTTTGATTATTAATAAACTCAAGTATATACAATTAAAATAAAATCCGTCATATATAAAGATCGAATTCGGATCAAAGTTCTCAAATCGACTTAAATTTAAAACAATTTAATTCAAATTCAATCCGAATCCAATCTGTTCACACGGCCCAAAAGCCTTGATGTTACGTGACAGCAGCCATGAGTAAAAGAGAAGTTTACCAACGTGATTAAAACTAGGTATAGACTTCTCAATCACCAGCCGACTGCCGACCATAAAGTTGTGGCGATGCTTTAACTCTCTTCTTTCTTTTGCTTTCGTTCTTCGCTTCTATATGAAAAGATAGCCTCATGTGCCTCATTCATACACATCCCAATCAAGTAATTAAGGTCCACCATTTTTTTTTTTTGACTATTATGCACATATATATACACATTTATAAATAATTAGACATCAACTCTTCTGTCGTGTTGAAATTTGTCCAATTAGTTTCCAACTCATTTTTTACTATGTATAGCTCGGTTAGTGTAATGTGAAATCCGTATTTAGTGGGTTCATATCTGTCCATTTATTTCACAAGTGTAACTTGTTCATTCGTTTATCACTTGAACCCGTTAAATTAAATTTGAACTTACTAATTTTGTATTGATTTCATGTCGAATTTGCGAGTTGTATCTAGAATGGGGAACCCTAGGTGTATCCACTGGATTGTATTTTGCTTTAGTAGAGATGTAGTTGATGTGGTTTAAACTCAAGCTCCAACATATACCAAGTTAAATACCAGTCTCTTCTTAATGCTTGAATTGATAAAAGAAGTATGTTTACTCGATGTAAATGCATGTATGCATTTGTCTCCAAGTACTATCAATCTCATCACAATAGGTTTATTCATGAGCCTCTCACAATTGCATTTCATGCCCACAAAATGATGTGTCGAAATGCCGTAAAACCGTTGTCGTTAGAGTAATATTATTGGGACCTAAAAATTAACCCAATGATATGACAATGACATGATCCAATCATTTTGTTATGATTGTAAGCATTTAAACTTCTTCATCAGAATTCTATCACTTAACACATCATCATATCAACAAATTTAAGTCAATTTTTTAAAATTGCAGTAACATTATTCTTGTCATTAGCAAACGACACAATTCGAGATGATCATAATACTATTGAAACCTAAAACACCAACATAATTTGTTGATCTAATCATGTAATAATGACATGATTTAGTAGTGTTAAACTTTTATGCTCTGTTTGGTACGATGAAAAAGTGAGAGAATGAAAAGTTGGAAGTTGAAGGGATAAATAAAACACCATGTTTGGTAAGGAAGGAAAGTAGGAAGGATGAAAAAGTGGATGGATTAACTTTCCTTCCAACTCACCAAAATTAATCCCTCTAAAATTGGAAGAAAAGTTGATAGAAAGTCAATTATTTGTATTTAAATGTATCTTATTTGTTTATATATCTTTTTATATATACATATATTATATATACATTAATTTTATATAAAAATACAATGGTAAAATATGTGTGTATATATATATATATATATTAAAAATAAACTTAAATAAAAAATTAAAATTAAAATTTTAAATTAAAAAAAAATATTTTGTCCATCTTAACTAAGGGTGAAAATTTTCGACTCAACATGATAACACGACTTGAACTCGATACGAAAATAAACAGGTCAACTCGCAACTCGACACAATACAATTAGTTAAATGAGTTAAGTAAGGTTAGACTAATATTCGATACAAACTCGTAATGACTCAACACGAATCTAATACGACACGACTCAATTGTCACCCCTAATCTTAGTCATCACAAAAAAAAAAAAAAATAGTCATTTTTATTTTCCATCCATCCAATCAAATACAAAGGAAG